GGGAAAGAGAGAAATCACATCCCTGGGTATGACCACACAGCAATCCCTTCTCCTCCATTCTCTTCCTGGGATTTTGGGCACGCACACATATGCGTCCAGCATGATTTTAAAGCCACCAGCTTCAGGATTCAAACTGCAGTCAACACGTAGGAGTCTAGGACCTCAACCACCATGCTACTTGCTGGCCCTTGGGCAAAGCTAGTTTTAATCTTGCAATTTTACAATACTGCAGTCTCAAGGCTCACAGTGAATACTCTTTATTCTGTTGATGCCTACTTGTCTTCTTTACTGGAAGACTCCCTCTATAAGACCCTACAAGAACGAGGTCATTTTCTTGATTTTTCCTTTCCAGGACATCAAAGGTACCACATTTATTCAATGATTCAACTACCCGATGCTTTCTAAAACCACAAGAAAGCTGGTTATCCCCAACAATACTAATGACATACAGTCAGTATTATTAAAGAACAGCAATACAAGGGAGAGTCAGCTCATTTATGCTCTTTATTCAGTCAATAAATAGTTGTAGAGTATCTACTATATGCCAGCCTCAGGACAAAAACCGCCCTCATGGAGTTTACATTCAAGTGGATAGAGACAAACAACAAATAAATCTATATTACAGATGAGGATGAATGCTGTAAGAAAAATAAAGCCAGCCAGAAAAAGAGAAGGCATGGCAGTTCACAACTTTAAACTGCACGGTCAAGAAAACCCTCCTTTGAGAAGATGGCAAAGGTTGAAGACACGAATCACATGAGATGGCTATTAGTAAGTTATATGTTCTAAGTATTTTCTGTTAAATTGTATTTAATTGCATTCCAGACCACTATCAATATAGTGACTCCTCCCTACTTGATAATCTACAAAATTAAACTTGATCCAGCTAATTTCAAAAGTTCATTTCTACTTGAATAACTATAATTTATTACAACACCCATCTTGTTTTATTATGAATTGCCTTTACACATAGGAATAACTGCAATTTCCTTAGATGACAGCAATAATGTTAAGTTTAATATATAAACCAAAAATTTAAATGTGATACTCTTCAATCACTGAAGTTAAGAATTTTTTGAAACATGAAATAACTGAAAAATGAAGTCTTCATTACCGTTTATTACAGAGCAATTAGAAACCACGCAGATTAGGGGGCCAGCAGATGGCTTAATAATTACATTGCTAGACTCTCACATTACTGATAGCAGTTCCAATCCCAGACCCAGCAGGTTAAAACTCACACTGGGTGCATATGCATGCATGCCTGAAACCCTAAGAGGAGAATGGAGGAAAAGGGATTGCAGTGTAGCCATCCTCCCAAAGGAATGTATCACTGTCTCTCTGGTGAGTGCACATGCTCTGTAGGAAAAAAAAACTAAGTTTCAAGTGTGGTGGTTAAAGGCTCTGGACTCTCACATGGCTGGCCGCAGTTTGATTCCTTGCTTTCTCACTCTCTCTCTCTCTCTCTCTCTCCCTCTCTGGTCAAGTTAAAATAAAGTTAAATAAAATAATTTCTAAAAACTCTCTTAAAAAAACCATATAGATTTTAAAAATAATGTAAAAGACTCGATCCTGTATATGTTAGGTTTTTTTTTTTTTTTGGTTACTGTTTCCATCAATGCCAGAGGGTATCTTAGCTCACCACAGAAAGGAAGAAGAGAAAACACTTTCCCCACAATGGGGGATGGTCACAATACAACCCCTTCTTCATTTCCCCCTCCTTTTGGGATTTTGAGTATATACAGACATGTCCCTAGAGTGCTTCCCAAGCTGCTGGCCTGGGACTCAACTGCAGGGTCGTCCATGTAGAATCCAGCTGCCTCAACCACCATGTCACAGAGCCAATCCACTAGTAACTTTTAAGGGTCCTCTCAAATGGAATTCTATAAGAGAATTAAATTCTAACCTCCTAGGCACTAATTGATTGAATTAACTTCTCTCCTCAGCATTTACAATTGTACTAGCTATGTACATATGAGAAAAGCTGGAGGACATCTCCTATAAGTCAGACTTGACTTTACCTAAATAAAAAATTTAAAAATAGAGATAAAACCTTCTTCCAAAATAAGACAGTTTAATATTACACAGTTTTAAAATAAACTTTCCTATTAGTGATATTGTTTAAGAAATGTGTATTTTTTAACTAAGCTTTACTATATTGTATTCAATGTTGCAAGTGAGGAACACATTTGCTGAATCACAGAAGTATTGGTCTAGCATGGGTGGTTCAGTGGTAGAATTCTCGCCTGCCACAGAAGTATTGGTCTGCTACAACATGTGTTAGAAAACAATCTGGAGAATCAAGAATTATGTTTAGTATATAAAGCTATCATTATACTTGAATATGTGATAGGCTTGAACTAAAATCAGTTCAAAGTAATTCATTAACTCGCAGCGAGGAGATTAAGGGATAACCAAGCGCTCTGAATTCACTGTTAACAACTTGCAATAAGATCCTACATTTAGCCTGGATCTTGATAAATATGGAGAAGCCAAGAGCAGTAACAAACTGCCAGCTTTCCTGAGTCATGTTTCTGACTAAAACCGCGTTATGAAATGGAAAGAATGACATGTCTTGGGTTTAGTCACCACAGATGTTAACTCCGTGAACTGAAGGGTCTCAGATGAAAAACAGTAATAAAAAATAAAAATAAAAAAAACTGTCTAGTAAGAATGACGTGAAACTAAACGGACTCCAGAAACAACCCGCCGAAGGGAGGGACTCCGGTAATTTACCTAAAATGAATCCTAACTGTGCCAACAGGCACACCCTCTGATGCATCAGGGCAGGAACGCGATGTGGGGGCAATTCCGAACAATCACAAGGTTATTTAACGTTCCACGGTAAAGGCAGCCTCCGCCCTGAGTCCACACTGCGCCAGACGCCCTCGGTTAACGGAACCGCTGAGTGGGGCGAACACGAGCTCGGGTCGGGGCCACCACGTCCACCAGGCAGCTGGGGCACGCCACGCCATCTCCTGCCTCCGCGCAGGACAGCCCAGGAGTGGTCCGGGACGCCCCCACGACGCCGCGCCGGGCACGGTCCCAGCTCGCCGCCTCCCCAGCTGCCCTCGGCGCTCCGCCGGCCGGCCCGGGAGGACCGGTCCGGGGCTGTGGTGAGGCCAGCCCTGACGCCGCAGGGCGGTCGGGGCCGCGACCTCTGCCCCGGGGGAGCTGAAAGCCCTACGGTCGTCTCCTTCACAGCAGCCAGCCCCCACCGCTTCCTAGGCCGCAGGCCGACTCCGGTACAGGCTGGGGCAGAGGTGCACTGGCCCCCACACCCGAGGCTCTCACTGACCTGGAGAGGTGCTTCAGGATCTGTTTCTTGATTATTCCAGCCATGGTGCCGGGGTGGAAGGCGCCGCGCTCTCGCTCTGTTGCTCACTGCCTCCTCTCTGCGTGGACGTCTCCTCTCTGTTCCGGCTAACCCAACCGGAGGAGGGGCACTTGAGTGCTCACGCCCGGGAAAGACTCGAGGCCCCGGCCGAGGCCAAAGCCGCCGCCGCTGTCCCCGCCGCGTAGGACTCCGAGCATCGCGCTCAGGCCGCCGAGGCCGCCGCGGACGCCATCTTGGCTGCCGGAGGGAGGCGGGGGGCGGGGCGGGCCGAGAGGCGGGCCCGGGGCGGGCCGAGAGGCGGGGCCAGGGCAGGGGCGGGGCCTTCTTGGGTTTTAATTCTCTCTCCACGGCCCTTTGCGCTTCTTCCCGTCTGCATCGGTGGGTTCTTCCTCTCCATCCTCTGTACTTCTCTTTTTCGTTTCCTTAGAATTTAATTGCTGCACAGATTGCTCTGCTTACTTTCCTCGCTTGACCAACTCTGCTTTCCTCATATTCTTCCTTTGGTTTCCTCTGCTTTTGTAAAATATCCTGCTTTCTCTTTGCTGCCGTAACTTAATGATTTCTAATGTAACTGTTTTTTTTTTTTTTCTATCTTAAGGGAAGTAAAAATTGACATGGTATAAGAGTCTAGGACTCAGACATTAAAAGACCTAAGTTCAAGTCTTGGCTCCAGTATTTTCTAGCCATATTCATCTTGAGAAACTAATGTCCTTACTTTTTACCTCACTTTAATCTTCTGTAAAATAGGTTAATCTATCAGTATTACCCATTTCTTTAGAATGTTGTAGCTAAAGAAATAGGTATATAAATGTCAACTGAAATTTTCTGCGAAAAGGAAAAATCATTGAAATAGAGAAAACTTATAATTCTGCAACTCCCTCACGCTCAACTCCAAACCAACATTTTTTAATAGAAAGTGACCATTCAATGATACCTGAAAAAAAAAAATTGCACTATCCCTGAGGGATTTATCAGAACGTGGAGGGGGGAGAGGAGGTTATACAACATTCAACAATCTGACCCTTTTTAGTAAAAGTTAAGGATAGTGAAGCAAAGATGTTCCATCTTTGAACTTTACATTATACTTGTTTCCTCCTTTTGCCCAGAGTAAATAGAGTGATTAATAGTCTTACTGTTCTTGCTAACTAGTCCAAAACCTTTTCGTTTGGATGTTCATTAGCGAAATAACTACCAGTCACCAGACCCCTGCCCTGAGTCATCCGGACCATTAAACAAAGGTCTGAAGAGTGCCCTTAGAAATTATTAACCTGCTTGATTAAGCTTCTGTAACTGCTTTCCCATGGGAACCCCACTCCCTGTCCTCTTCACCCCTCCTCATTTTTCATTGTAATCACCATCACAACCCAAAACTGATTGTGATCTTTGCCTTTATAAGCACCCCTCTCCTTTTACTCAGGGCTGCAGGGTTTTTGAGAGACAGGAGTCCTCCTACAGCCAGCCGGCCTATTAATAAAGAACTCCTATCATTTGGTTATGTTTGGTATTCCTCTTATTTCTCACTGATGAGACTATAACAATAGATGTGTGGGTTGACTGTTTACATACTATTACCATGCACTAAAGACAAGGCACTGTTCTGTTTCTGGTAAACTAAGTCCAGCCGCTTCTACTCACAGTCAGTGACACTAGAGTCAGAGTCTGATGATGAAGGATGTTTATTTCTGAAAACGGGTTTGAGAGAGAGAACCAGCAAGTACCACGAGCTGTCTCAAGAAAAAAAAAAAAATTCAGCAGCTCAGCTCAGCATGCATTCAGTATTTATAGATACAAGTACATGGAAATCATTCCTTACTATAATCAAAGTTAATTGTTTTCCTTTGAGCAATTATCCTGATTCCTGTTTTGTTTTTTCCAAATACCCATTCCTGGGTTCTAATCTGACCATTTTTAAACAGACTTCCCATGACTTGGCACTTATTTAGATTGTTCCTATCAGAGGCTTTAACTGGTTTCAGAATGACTACGGTCCTGCTGACCCTACCTCAAACTGACCTCTTTAATTCAAGCACATACTGTTGCCTAAACAAAAACAAAATAAACTATTTCTATCATCAGCGTTAATAGCCTAGCATGGAAGATAGATTCATGCTGCTAAGATCTTGCGCTCTGTCATTAGACTCTGGTTAAAAATGTTGCCTCACCAGGGTGTGGTGGCAATCACCCTATGGCAAAAACTACTGGAGGTTGAAGGATTGTGGCAATGAGTCCATCTCTCTCTCTCTGTCTCACTCAATACGCACAATTAGAGAAAAAAATGCTGGCTCAGCTACTTCACAGCTATGTTTTTGGGCAAACTAATTACAATGGGCTTCAATTATCTCATCTGTTGGAGACAATACTATCTAATTTACAGAATTGTCTGAGAATTAAATGAGATTATGCATATAATTTAACTGAAATTTTCTGCAAAAAGGAAGAAAATGTTGTGCATATATGTACATGTTTGTGTGTGTGTGTGTGTTTTGAAGAATTACTTTATTTAACTTTATTTATTTTAATCTGACCAGAGAGGGACAGAGAGAAAGAGAAAGCAAGTGAGACAGAAAGTGAGAAAGCAAGCTGCCAGGTTCAGGACTTGAACCACAGTTGGCGATGTGAGAGTCCAGCAACCTTAACCACCACACCCACCTGCTCTCCCCAGCACATGCTTGTGTTATAAAAGATGCCTAGCATATACTAAACTCAATAAATGGTAGCTATTATATTCAGGATCACTTTTGAATATAGAAAGTCAGAGACTGATTTACAGTAGAGGTATTATTTCAAAGATGAGAATAAGTCCGTCTAATTTATTAGAAGAGCTGACTCTGAAATCAAGGCCTTGGATTTGAAACCTAGCTCTGTGAATTGTTTCACTATTTGACCACAGGAAAAATACTAAACCCTCGAAATCCTGTGATGCTGTATGCCTAGGAGATTTTTATTAAAATTAACTGCCTGGGACCAGCCTCGGTGGGGGTGGATTGAATCGTCGGAGGTGGCGCTAGAAAGGAAGACTTAAGGCCTCGGTGCCTTTTTCATGCATGTCCTCAGCCAGACACCTTCAGAGATCTCTCTCTGAAGAGTGACCCTAAATCTTAGCATATACCAGGAGCTTATGAACATGTACAAACAATAACAAAATTTGCTTTAACAACTTTTAAATGTAAAACTGAACAATCTTACTAATAAACCTTTTTAATATTTTAATAAAATTTAAAGACCAATCATAAGAATAACTAAAGCATGTTAATTTAACAACAAGAATTATAAGGAGAACTCGGAACAGGCAATATGTTTCTATGAGTCTATGTTTAACACTGGATTTATAGTCTTTTATATCAATTTACTATTTTAACTCAGGTGTATTGTATTGGTTACTTAGTATGTAATTTTGTGAAACACTTTTTACTTTTGTTTGGTCAATTTTGTCTTTACAGTTTAGAAAACCAGTCAATTGATATAGGAAATGAAGATTTTACTCATTTAATTATTAGATTTATTTTTATTTATTTATTCATTCATTCATTCTCAAAAGGTATCAATGTCAAAATAACCCCAGGAAAATTGTCTCTTGTAATCCTGATGTGTGTGTGTGTGTGTGTCTATGCATGTAATATGTCCTGCTGTATGTCTATGTGAAAACAGGCCTTAAAGTATTCTATTCAATTTGGTTTATAAAAAAAAGCGCTCATAAAAATTAGTCTAGGTGCTTCTCAAGTTTGTATAACTTTAATAAATGAGATGGCTTCAAATATAATTTAAAAATAATAATAAATAAATAAAATAATAATAATAATAACTAACAAGTAAAGATCTTCGCAATCTCCAACATATATTTCATCTAAGGTTTTATTAATCAAACAACAGCATGTTTATCTTAATATGGTTGGTTTAATAAAATAGCTAGTATTATCTGTTACACTTTACATAATAAATATCTAATAACACCACTGGGTCCGGGACACGAACTGCGGTCGACTACGTGGGAGTCCAGCGACATAGCCATTACGCTAACTGCTGGTTCCCCTAACAGAGGATCTTTAACCTCAAAGTAACTTTTGGATGTTTACAGAGGGCCCCTGAAACATCCAAAAGGAAGTTATTAAATCAATCAAGCTTATTGTTTATATGTTGGATAAAAATAAAAGACTTTGTCAAATTAAGTAATTCTAATTTTCTTAATATTTTATTTAAGTTAATACATATATACATATATGTGTATGTGCATGTATATATATATTATATATATATAATATATGTATATAAATGTTATGTACTTGTATGCCTATATATACTTTGTGTTCCAAAATAATTTAAAATTCCCAAGAGTTAATAGTAGGCTATTATGTTAAACTGACATATATAGCCAAATTACTCTGTCAGTTGTGAATTTTTGTCAGATCATTAATCATGGCTAAAATCTTAATGTGTGTTATGTCCTTAAAGAAATTCACAGAGTAAAATAAATAAATAAATAAATCTAATAATTAAACTGAGTAAAATCTTCATTTTCTATATAAATTGACTGGTTTTCTAAACTGTTAAGCCAAAATTGACCAAACAAAAGTAAAAAATGTTTCACAAAATTACATACTATGTAACCAATACAATGCACCTGAGTTAAAAAAGTAAATTTATATAAAAGACTATAAATCCAGTGTTAAACATAGACTCATAGAAACATATTGCTTGGTTCCCTCTGAGTCCTCCTTATAATTCTTGTTGTTAAATTAACATGCTTTAGTTATTCTTATTATTGGTCTTTAAATTTTATTAAAATATTAAAAAGGTTTGTTAGTAAGATCGTTCAGTTTTACATTTAAAAGTTGTTAAATTTCGTTATTGTTTGTACATGTTCATAAGCTCCTCCTAGTATATGCTAAGATTTAGGGTCACTCCTCAGAGAGCAATCTCTGGGGGTGTCCGGCTGAGGACGTGCATGAAAAGGAACCAAGGCCTCAGTCTTCCTTTCCAGCGCCGCCTCCGAGTCAATCCACCCCCGCAGAGGCTGGTCCCCGGCAATTAACCAAGCTAGCAAAGCTAATATGTTTAGAGTGCCTGATACAGTAGGCACAAAAGAATATTTCA